TGTGACCTGTCTGTATAGATGTGACCTGTCTATAGATGTGACCTGTCTTTATAGATGTGACCTGTCTGTATGGATATGACCTGTCTGTATAGATGTGACCTGTCTGTATATATGTGACCTGTCTGTATAGATGTGACCTGTCTGTATGGATGTGACCTGTCTGTATAGATGTGACCTGTCTGTATAGATGTGACCTGTCTGTATAGATGTGACCTGTCTGTATAGATGTGACCTGTCTGTATATATGTGACCTGTCTATAGATGTGACCTGTCTGTACAGATGTTACCTGTGTGTATATATGTTACCTGTCTGTATAGATGTGACCTGTCTGTCTGGTTGAACTATCTACATTGTATATGTGATCTCGGACTTTTTATATGTGACCATTCTGTATATGTGACCACTGCATAAGTATATATAACATCTCTATAGATGTGACCTGTCTCTATAGATGTGACCTGTCTGTATAGATGTGACCTGTCTGTATAGATGTGACCTGTCTGTATAGATGTGACCTGTCTGTATAGATGTGACCTGTCTGTATAGATGTGACCTGTCTGTATAGATGTGACCTGTCTGTATAGATGTGACCTGTCTGTATAGATGTGACCTGTCTGTATAGATGTGACCTGTCTGTATAGATGTGACCTGTCTGTATAGATGTGACCTGTCTGTATAGATGTGACCTGTCTGTATAGATGTGACCTGTCTGTATAGATGTGACCTGTCTGTATAGATGTGACCTGTCTGTATAGATGTGACCTGTCTGTATAGATGTGACCTGTCTGTATAGATGTGACCTGTCTGTATAGATGTGACCTGTCTGTATAGATGTGACCTGTCTGTATATATGTGACCTGTCTGTATAGATGTGACCTGTCTATAGATGTGACCTGTCTGTATAGATGTGACCTGTCTATAGATGTGACCTGTCTGTCTGTTTGAACTGTGTACATTGTATATGTGACCTCGGTTTTTATATATGTTACCATTCTGTATATGTGACCACTGCATAAGTATACATAACTTCTGTATATAGGTTACCTGTCTGTATAGATGTGACCTGTCTGTATAGATGTGACCTGTCTGTATAGATGTGACCTGTCTATAGATGTGACCTGTCTATAAATGTGACCTGTCTGTCTATATGTGACCTGTCTGTATAGATGTGACCTGGCTATAGATGTGACCTGTCTATAGATGTGGCCTGTCTATAGATGTGACTTGTCTGTATAGATGTGACCTGTCTGTATATATGTGACCTGTCTGTATCCATGTTACCTGTCTGTATATATGTTACCTGTCTGTCTGTGTGAACTGTGTACATTGTATATGTGACCTCGGTCTTTTCATATGTAACCATTCTGTATATGTTACCACTGCATAAGTATATATAACATCTGTATAGATGTAACCTGTCTGTATAGATGTGACCTGTCTCTATATATGTGACCTGTCTGTATAGATGTGACCTGTCTCTATAGATGTGACCTGTCTGTATATATGTTACCTTTCTGTATAGATGTGACCTGTCTGTATAAATGTGACCTATATGTATAGATGTGACCTGTCTATAGATGTGACCTGTCTATATATATATGTGACCTGTCTGTATAGATGTGACCTGTCTGTATAGATGAGACCTGTCTGTATAGATGTGACCTGTCTGTATAGATGTCTGTGTGAACTGTGAACATTGTATATGTGACCTCGTTCTGTATATATACCGGTATGCAACCATGCTGTATTTCTGACCACTGCATATGTTTGACCTGTCTCTATATTTGACCTTTCTGTATAAGTGACATCTAGATCTGTATATATGTGACCTCTGTCTGTATATGTAACCTCTATGTATGTGACCTCTGCCTGTATATGTGAGCTTGCTGTATATGTGACCTCTGCCTGTATATGTGAGCTTGCTGTATATGTGACTTGTCTGTATATGTGAGCTTGCTGTATATGACTTGTGTGAGCTTGCTGTATATGTGACCTCTGCCTGTATATGTGACATGTGCCTGTATATGTGACCTCTGCCTGTATATGTGACCTCTGCCTGTATTTGTGACATGTCTGTATATGTGACCTGTCTGTACATGAGACCTGTCTGTATATGTGACCTCTGTATATTATGTAACCCTGTCTGTATAACCTCTGAATACCATAGTACACTTCTCGGAGTTATCTCCCTTGTGGCGTAGATTCAGTTTCAGAATAAAGATACTTCAAGAGAAGGGACATGGAGTTTTTATCTTTTCTGTCGGCCCATCTGTACGATATCTTGGTGGGACTATGTAAGTCATCTCCACTTCTCTTATACCATAAACCCGCTATAATCAAATTTCTACAGAAACATCTTCATGACTACGGCATCGTCACGTGGCATATAGGTCACTGTGACCTATATTTTCCGCTTCACTGTCTTGTGATGACTTTGTACTTAACTCTTTTTCTCTCCATTACATAGTAAGACTTTGCGTTTAGTTTTGCTACATGTACCCTTCTTTTGCTAGTTCCATTGCTATCAAACTTTAATTACGGATAACAACATTTGGAGGAGTACTACTCCAACACAAGATATCATTATATAGGCCACTGTGACCTGTATTTTTCGTTTCACCGACTTCAATTAGACTCTGTGTTTAGCTCCATTTTCATCAAAGCAGAAACGGGGGAATCAATATATATACAATGTACAAGACTCATCTAGTATCGTTTCAAGAAAATTTATATTCCGTTGACATGAAGCTTCAACTTAAATTTTTCCCATCTCATTTATCAGAGATATTCTCCTTACTGCAACTCTTTGTCGTTTACGACGATTTAAACAGAAAACAAACTAGACAAAGAGAGATGTCTATATCGTTTATTCTCAGTGCAATTTAATAGCAAATCAAAGTTGCGTACATAACCTACCAATTCTCCCATAAACAACATAACTGAAATGTGTAACAAAAACATCTCCTGAGAAAGGAAAAGAAATAATAACAGTCATGATATATATCTCCAACACCAAGTTGAACCTAATTCCGCGAGATTTTCGCGAATAACAAATTAAAAGAAGCATGCGAATAAAAAATAATTTAGATATTTTACGGTTGTTGCTTTCTTTATTCTAAGTGGTAAATATATACATAACTGATATTATCGTTAAATTCATTTATATAACCTATTATATGGGCTGAAATTCATTCCATACTTTGTACGAAGAACAGATATTTGTAACAATGTTGTATGCATTTTCTTACATTAAATTGTATTATAACAAAGGGAGATCATTGGATAATTTCCCTTTTGGAATAGTTGGGGAAAAAAAATCAATTTAAGACCAAACTTTATGAAGATATAATGATAAAGTTTACTTTATGTGACCGTAACCATCAAACAAATGAACAATATCCATAACTTAAATTGAAATTTTAAAAAGTGAAATGTGTTAGTTTTTTGAACTGTAAATTAGTGGTTATTTAAACAGAATGTTCACACACAAACTGACTACACACTGACCAGAGTAAAAATCAATCGCCTTCCCCAGGCCCTGATTAACATACCAAGAAAAAATACCGTAAAATATTATTTACTTAAGTAATCAATAGGCCATATGATATGAAATTTCCACATACATATACAACAAATGACTCAAATTCGTCTACTTTTACCGATACAGTGGTAGAGCTTCGTTATTACGAATCAAATACCACCTTTATGTCGATGTGAGTTTCGGTTTTACTTTACATTTATTTGTTATTATTATTAAGACCTCGATATCTTGAATACTTAATTTATTTCAAGAAGAAAACAATGAAAACAAACGAAATAAGAGATTTTTAGCTTTCGCCGTCAATTTCTTATTTATTGTGAGATGCATATTATAGCGTTATGACGAATTCGAATTTTGTTTAGAATGTTATCTATCATCACTATTAAGCATGGGGTTTAAAAAAAATCATTTTTGCAAGTAAATAATTTGCTGAAAGTAAAATCGCGGAATAGGAATTCACATAATACAGTGATTTAGCAGACTCGAATATGGTAAATAAACTTATTCCGACTTTCGCCAATAAATTGATATCTCATGTTCGGCAGCAAAATCAAGTAAATGAAAACAATTATATGCATGTAAAAGTGAATAGGTTTTTGATTTATGTTTGAAAGGAAGAGCGGTAACAATATCCCGGTATAATATACATGTATACTTACTGACATTCGACAATAGCAACAGAAGGTTGTTTAGATTAATCGGAACCTCTTGCTTTACAAACAAAAATGCGCTTTGAATGCAATTTCAATAAACATGTCATTATAAATAATATTTCAATGCTTGTTGTAATGAACATATTAGGCTCATATTTTAACGTGACATCGAATGTGGAGTTAAACATTTGGGCTGCAAGAGTAACCAATTAAGTATATCACATGTGAATATGTTTATCCCACTCGCCAAAATGCTCGTGTCAAATCTACGTTGAAATAACCATCGCTTGTATCTTACTGAGCTAAAAGTGATGTAGATTTCAGTAATGAAATCGTATTCTAAAACAGGTAAATACCGTTACGTTGTTGGTGTCTTACTATTTCAATGTTCTCCTATGTATTGGTGGAGATTTCTGAAGACAGCACTGCGACATCATTATGGCAAATATACGCCATTATCACATAAATAATACTAATTTAAAATATATATTTTTTTTTTACATATATACGATGTATTCTCCTAGCTTTTAAAATATTATAAGCGCCATGAATTATTATTCACATAAAACAAGTTGAGAAATAAAAAATAAAATAAAAAAAATCTAGCGTTCATCACGAACCTACTTAATACTAGTGGTATAATATATCATACAGATTAATATATTAGAAAATATAATAAATTATTATACTTCCCTAAATACGGAACCTCACAATGTAGAAAATATATCTCCATGTTAAAAAGTGATGACTAGATCCCTACAAAACCTCTGCAATTTCTGTATCTCCCCGTGGAACAAGAAGAACCAACGGTAAAAAATCCGTTTTTCTTAAGTCACAAAATGAAATTTCAATATCAACACACGGGAATTTAACAACCTTTGGAAATCATCAAAAAATAAAGTATGAATTTCTTTCTTGTCTAAACATTCAGACGAAATTCTATCAACCTTTCAGTCTTAGAAAACTGCTGCAAAATCTATTCTTGCAGCAATTTTCATGGCATGTGTTTGAGATTCATTTAAACATTAAAATAATATTTTGGATTGGTAAACAAGTGTTAAACATTGAATAAATAACAAATCTTGAAAAAAAGAATGTTTCTTGATATGAATAAAAAAAATAGGCGAATTATATCACAGACTACGTCCAGAATGTCGGCAAATGACAGATGTTCTAGGCATCGCTGATTGGTTGTATATTATCACGTGATAAGAAAAGAGTGATCACGTGTGCACGGGTCCCGGCCAAGCAGTGGCCCTGTCTAACATTGGGACGGCTCCATTTGTCATAGAAAGCCGTGGTAACATGGACGTATTGGCCCTCTGTTGCATCCTTAACGTCGCAGGACGGTTATACTCAGTGCTAGCGTAATTGTTGCCTAAATTGTGTATACCTGAAAACAAGTTTATAAAAATGATACTACAAGTCACTATAACAACTGCTTGTCAATGGACGGGACCCACTCTACTCGTTGCATTATGAAGAGTTAAGTCCATTATCAAAGCTTGAATCATCTTATGGATCTGCGTCTTTCCCTTTAAACTATACTATACTATATTGATTTTAACATCCAGTTGGGTTTGTAGGACACTATGCTTCAAAATCATCGAAATTACTAACATTTTCTCTCCTAAAAAAAATCAATCTTGTAAGTCGTAGCACTGAAATATATGAATACTTAAATAATAAACAGGAAATGAAGGAGGAAAATGTGGGCAATTAAAATTGACACTTGCATACTCGGTACATCTCGAATATTACATTTATATCATGTTTGGCGGTTTAACACGTGCGGTATGGTATTTAACCATGTGCATGAGAATGTGCCAAGATAAAAAGTGAATAATCACAGACTGCTTTAGAAACGAAAGACAAACAAACAACAAAAATCATATCTGGAGTAACACATATATGTCATTACAATTATGAGCGAATTAATTTTCATTTTCTCCTTAAATTGTGTTGAAAATGAAGACACTATTTAGTGTTCTGCAAAATTGTAATTTATGACAGGAAATTGACATCGCAATAATGACTGACCAATCTTCAATACATGACGACACCGTTTAGAGAGTACTAGTTCTATATTTAGCATATTGCAGGTACGTATGTAATATGAATACTAGCACTTAAGTCATAGTCTACGGCAAAACTGTTCAACACATTAAGCTACAAAATTGACCTATTGCAAATCTATAACAAACGATTACGTATAGGGACTTTGATAAGTCCTCACCGTTTTAGCCAAAATGTTGACATTTTCTCAAACCTTCACATTTTTGTTTAACATGTATTCCAACATTGAATTATTTTGATCATTCAAATTGGAAAATTTGTTTCATATTTTCTTTCGATGAAAAAACAAATATAATGTTTAGGTTGATGATCGTATAGTTGTTGGGTTAAGATGATAAAATGTTAAAAAATGAAAAATAGATAAATTGAAAACATTCCATAACATGTATTTCGTGACAGATGAAACATTCAGAAACATGTAATACTATGCATATCAATTTGATCTTCTTTTCAATTTCGGTAAATGAAGATGAACAAAAACGGGCAGTGAATCCGAGAAAATCAATGAAAATATTTTAATTAGTATGTGTACATTATAATAATACTAGCGACCAATCAGCGACTAGGACAGAAACATGGGCGGAGTGTAAGGTACAGAAATGGGCGTGGATGGCGTTCTGGATCCTTTCATTGGTAGAGATATTGGAGTGGGCGGTATATGCATTCCCAATCTGTTTTGGTACCCACTGTCGGGTCTGCCACACGAGGGTGTGCTTGGTGAGCGATGGCTCGGGGTCGGTGTTCGACCCATCCGGAAAGGATGTACTCCCGAGGAGTTGGCAGTATAGTTCGAAATGGGTGTGCTTGGAGGTTTGAAAGAACGTTTAGAATGGACTGACGCGCGTGAGTGTGGGCGGGGCGGTGGCGGCTGTACATTGTAATTAGCCCCGCCCATCGGCTCAGACCCGCCTATATCGTAGGACTCTAACATCTTTTGGACCAAGTCTTTCTCTGAAACAGATCAAAGAATCGAAGCACCGTGTAAACAACACTCACAAACACAGCATTACTACACACCACACAACACAAACAGAAAATGGCACAAACCGGAAGTTATCAAAAAGACAAGAAACCGGAAGTCACAAAGTGAATTTATCTGGAATAGATAATTCCAATAATGCACTCTTCGTAACGTAACTACAGTTCTCAGAGTAGAAGAAACGCTCTGTTTCAAAGAATTTTGAAGCCAAAATGTACAAAAAGTTGATTGAGTAAAAGACCCATCGAGAAATTTGGTCATTATGACAATGACATATTTGATTTCAAAGTTGTCATCTAAACAGGTATAAACTCATTAGCTTGTGACAATCGGTTCATTGCATCGGTCAAATGACAACGTAATGAAAGACACTTTTGAACATGTATTTTACAAGCAATTGTTCAAGAGGCAACAGCGATTTTTGTGTAATGTGACACTATGTGCTTACAAAATTATAAGATTGGATTTTTTTTTAGTCACATATAAGTATTAAAGGACATTCTACGAGAAAACACCACACTATATTTACAAATAAAACATGAAGATGTGTTTCAAATTTCACACAATTGAAACTGTGCCTATTAGCTTGCGTATAAGTTAACCTGCGAAAAAGCAGACGTCAATTAAACGTGAGTTGAGGATGAGAATAGAGACAAAATAAACTTTAGATTATATCCGATGTAATTAGACAATTGACCTAATTTGTTTGTGGCAAAAGCATGCAAACAGTGCACAGTCAAGCACGTGACTGAAGATGATGTGGATACTTACCAGTATTATAATGATCACGTGAGTAGAAAGTTTTAATGATGTGACTGTGTGCAAACCAATCAGATCAAACTCGCCAAACATCTGGGTTTCGAAAAAGTATGTTTTCAATAGAAGACTGATACATAGCACAAAAACACAATGCATTTTGATGCGGATTACTTTTTGTCCCTCCATGTAAGAAGATTTCTTACCTTCTCCTTCCATTTTTTCTAAGTGTTTCCGCAAAGCCTCCGCACCGAGTTTCTTTCCTGTGTCCTTAATCTGAGTAACGACGGCTGACGAGTTGTCGTTATAATGGCGGTCGTATGTTGTTCTCTGTTTGATGTGCATGTATCTAGAGGAGGCCGTTGGTACTGTAATATAAGGGTGGTTATTAGTGAGACGACCAAGGCATCAATCTCTTCCCTCCATCTTTACAACGGTACAAAGCATTTTTGTTTTCGTACATCAACAAGATATGTGGTTTTTGATGCAAGAAAGATAGGTAGGGTCGATTTTTCTACATCGAAAGCCTTACCCCCTTCTCGTATAATATCATCATTGAGGGTGGTATTTTTTTTACCGAAAGTCGTTCTAAACCCCTAAAACATGTAAAATTACTCTGAACACCTAAGTTTAGGTCCAAATATAGATGTAAAAAAAGCAGGTTTCTGTGTCTCTTCCCAGGAGAGTTACCATGCACTTCATGGAAAGAAACAGGCTGCTGTACCCCACTACCACTGCATGGTACCGTAAGAGGCGACTTATGTGATCCTGTGTATGATTTCTGTGTTCTCTGCCAAGGGGACATTAAGAAACCATCACTGAACCGCTGACCATATCATGTTGCAACATTTGGGACCTGTTTCTATTTCTTAACTCTTTCTTTCCGGTTGTGTAGTCCTAAGCACCCATCGACATATGACCTTAGCTGTTTAGCAACTTCAAGGACGCTAAACCCAAAAACAAACACAAACAAATCCTAGCAGATGATATTCAAGATATTGTGAACAAAAACCATTTTCATTTTTTCCTACCTACCGTTGATTTCAGTGCCTATCCTGGTTTTAAACAAACACAGTAGTCTGAAACGCTGTCAACATAAGCTGTTGTTAAAGGTTTATGAAATATAAAGTTTTACCCATAGTTATCAAGTCACGACAATCATTTTGCTTGGCCAAAATCCATACGTCTTTTATCAGACTGCAAGTCAGTAATTATACAACGGAAGTACTCACTTGTACCGGAAGCAACAAGTTGCTTTTTCTTGTTGCTACCATAGCGGGAGGCCGGTAGTCTAAGTTCATCTTGCTGGGACGGGGTTTGGAAGGAATACCGGGCCACCGAGTCCAGTGTATAGGGAATATTTTCCTTCCAATCTGGGGGGAGATTGTATGCACTCTTCACTTGGAAACCTGTAAATAAAAAAAAATAAAAAATGTCATGTCTGTCAAAACACCTCTTCGACAAACATATATATTTTCTCAGGAATGCTGTGGGAGAACGCGCGAGATACTTCTTGATGATGATTAGATATTCAAATTGCGGAAAGTTGATGTGTATAAGAATGTGTTTACATTTATTTATAGATTAGGGATTTCCTAACTGCGTATTTCATGACGTGTGAAGTTGAAGCAGATTTCACTATAGTAGACGTCAATTGTATACAAAACGTGTGATAACTTCAATAATATCTCTATCTGTCATGTCAGAATTCCTTTCTCAAAAGTTACCGACAATTTTGTACTGGAAAACCTTATTTCATATGACATGGTAATTTGAGCTCACTCAAGGAGCATTGATACTCTTTCAGATAAAGAAGGTCGTCTAGAAAGTTGCCAAAATATCCGGGAACAGTTGTAATCTTTTGAGGTATACGCACTTGTGGTCGCTCTGGTACGAAGCAGGGTGAGGTCCCCATCTTCTGATACATTCTGTTAAGAGTGGGGAGGGTTCTTACCTTCAGCATATTCTGATACAGACTGAGACTGGCTTTTTATTTTGAGTCACAGGCCCTGGTGACGATTTAATTTATTCTATCGATTGCTATTTATACATGTACATAGTAAACCCCCAAGTAAACCTGTGTTTTCATTCTTTAGGAATATGATTGGATTCTTAACTTGACGTACTTTTAGTAAAGAGTCGACATAATATGTCACTTTGATTAAGTTACGGTATAAAAGAAGTGAGGGGTCCTTACTTTAGGGTACTTACCGTATAAAAAGTGAGGGGTCCTTACTTTAGGATACTTCCGGTATATAGTAGGGGTAAGGGTCAAACAGTGAGGGGTCCTTCCCTTGTGAAACTTTTAATATATAATAGGGAGGGGTCTTTACCTTGAGGTATACCGAGGAAGTCACTCTGATACGTAGACTGACACAGGCGTTTGTGAACCTGATTGATCATATCGTCTGTTAGCTCCTCAGACCACGGGCTTTCCTTTTGCTCTGGACGCGCCCGGCGCGGAAACTTCCATACCATGAAAGACTACAAAACACAAGATACTACATGTCAGTCATCACGTCCTCCAGATGTTCGCACGTTACTTAGTATTCAGAAACTTAATTTAATTTACAATAATGATAGAACAAGTTATTTCAACTTATAATAATCACTCTTGTTTGCTCGGATAGCGCTGGGGGTCGTCTTCATGTTTGAGGAAACAGGAATACCCGGGCCAATCCAAAGTGGTCGCGCAGGTGACCCCATATCTTTTCACGTCCGATCGGGGAATCGAACCCCGGACGCCTTTGTGAAAGGCAAGTTTTCTATCCACTAGTGCAACGTAGACGTAGTAGCCTGGTAACAGTAGCATTAACATTTAGAACGTAAGGATCCCAGTCCAACTGCACGCAAGTTTGCCCCATCTTCAGTAATTTCGCCTTAATCCGTAGCACAGTTGGGCCAGGACAGGTCAATCTGTTAGTAGTGCAATTGTACAACAATCTGAAGTCCAGGGTTCGAATACCGATCTAGCCCGGCTGCATTTTTTACAATCAGAACACTGTTGTTGATTATATTTGGTTCACGCCATCTTTTTTTTTTTAGTTTAAAGTCCCGCAAGGTATAATGATTTATCAAAGCTATCGTCATGCCGGTAAAAACAGTGTCCAATGTGTAGTTTCAGCTTTTGGAAGTGGTAAGGAGATCCTGACCAGTGCAAAACGCTTAGAAAGTGTCCAAAATCACGACCACTCAGTATTTAACCTCCTTCCTAAGCGTATGTCAAATGACTACGCGATAAATTTACTTTTAAATGGCGACGGCGTTCTGAACCTGCGTCAATGCGATTAAAAAAAATTGTTTTGTATAGTAATTCCTAAACAAGAAATTAAAAAGATTTTAAGTAATCTCTTTAAGTCACTAAGCTCTTTAACTTGTAGGTATTTCCTTATTCACAGTACTTATTTTTTTTCACAATCATGTAAACTGTAGAATGTAAAAAGACACTTTAAATTATAGACACAAAAAATGTAGATTGGACACTATTGGATCAAATGAAAAGTCATAGAAGATTTCTCATAAGTTACGTATATTACCTATATATAGTCAGACATATTTCCGAGGACCGAACGTTTGCAAGGGATTTTGTACAGATTAAAAAACGTGTCTAGAGGTCTGTATCGTTAAAGGATGTATGCTATCTTACTATTTTTGTACTTATTAGTGCTAGAGTTATCTTCCTTGATTTTTTCCACAAGTACATGTATTAACCTCAGTGTTATCATAATGAGGCACGATAGCTAGTCTAGTGGTAGGACGCCGGTCTCGTGTTCGAGTCACGATAGTCAAGTGGTAGGACGCCGGGCTCGTGTTCGAGTAACGGCACGGCACTGTGTTGTATCTTTGAGCAAGATATTTTACTCCGCTTGTTCCAGTCTACTCATCTGTAAATGAGTACGTGGTTGGACAGTGCTAGAATTGTTGAATGCTAGCTGTGAACGCCAAAATGGCAGCACTGGCTGTATGCTCCCCGTGGAGTTGAGAAAGATATTGGCTGGTTGCAAAGGCCCTATAACCACGGATACTAATTTGTGAACCGCTTTGAGACGACCTACGAACTCTTTGGGGATAGGAGGCCAATGTCAAATTGAAATGTATCATAGAGGGAATCACATATCATCCCGTCTAGTGATATGTGTAAATTACATATTTGTATACAGTTATTACACGGTGTCGATATTGTTTAATTTCTTAATTACATGTTCCCAGTTTTAGACGGAGTATACCAACTGTCCTACATTTATGTATCTGTATTTGTTCAAGTCAACTTGATGACAATACATGTATATCAACATAACACAAGTATGCAGTATACATATTGTTGACACAATCATCCAACGCACTACCATCAAAGGGAAAAAGTTGTATGAGGTGCGCATGCAAAGGGGGGAAACTCTTATACCCTTATTTTCAAATACAGCTAAAACATGCTATTGACAATGAGGAAAACATAGATATTGAAATATTCTAACAATATGGACCAACCCATTCTTGTTAGGTAAGACGGGAAATACGTTCTTATAAACAATGAATCAGAAGTCAAATGTGTAACCATTTACAACTGAACCGGAAATGTATCCACTTACCTGAAGTGGGTGTGGTTTATTGCTTCGTGAACCGGAAGCGCTGCCGCTCCTGATGGGAGCGGAGGGGGGCTGAGATCCTCCTGTGTAATCGTTATGGTACGTTGTGGCCCCGATGGGGCCGCTCAGGTCGTGTGAAGCAGCAAACCCTTGTGACGACATGGGCCTGGAAAAGAAAAATTGGTAATTTATTCCATTCATGACATCATTAACAACTTTTGTCTCTTTATAATATGACTTATTGAACGTAATATCAATGTCATCTTCAAGGAGGTGTGACAAAACAGACATGTAGCATTGTTTGTTAGGACAAAACAGACATGTAGCATTGTTTGTTAGGACAAAAAAGACATGTAACATTGTTTGTTAGGACAATAACAGACATCTAGCATTGTTTGTTAGGACAGCAGACATGTAGCATTGTTTGTTAGGACAAAGCAGACATCTATTATTGTTTGTTAGGACAAAACAGACATGTAGCATTGTTTGTTAGGACAAAACAGACATGTAGCATTGCTTGTTAGGACAAAACAGACAATTAGCATTGCTTGTTAGGACAAAACAGACATGTAGCATTGTTTGTTAGGACAAAACAGACATGTAGCATTGTTTGTTAGGACAAAACAGACATGTAGCATTATTTGTTAGGACAAAACAGACATCTAGCATTGTTTGTTAGGACAAAACGGACATCTAGCATTGTTTGTTAGGACAACAAAGACATGTAGCATTGTTTGTTAGGACAAAACAGACATTTAGCATTGTTTGTTAGGACAAAACAGACATGAAGCATTGTTTGTTAGGACAAAGCAGACATCTAGCACTGTTTGTTAGGCCAACACAGACTTGTAGCATTTTTTGTTAGGACATCACAGACATGTATCATTGTTTGTTAGCACAAAACAGACATGTGGCATTGTTTGTTAGGCCAAAGCAGACATCTAGCACTGTTTGTTAGGCCAAAGCAGACATCTAGCACTGTTGGTTAGGACAAAGCAGATATCTAGCACTGTTTGTTAGGAAAAAACAAACATGTAGCATTGTTTATTAGAACAAAACAGACATGTCGCATTGTTTGTTAGGCCAACACAGACTTGTAGCATTTTTTGTTAGGACAGCATACATGTAGCATTGTTTGTTAGGACAACACAGACTTGTAGCATTGTTTGTTAGGACATCACAGACATGTAGCATTGTTTGTTAGGACAAAACAGACATGTAGCAGTGTTTGTTAGGACAACACAGACTTGTAGCATTGTTTATTAGGCCAAAACAGACATCTAGCACTGTTTGTTAGTACAAAGCAGACATCTAGCATTGTTTGTTAGGACAAAACAGACACGTAGCATTGTTTGTTAGGACAAAACAGACATGTAGCATTGTTTGTTAGGACAAAACAGACAGGTAGCAATGTTTGTAAGGACAAAACAGACATGTAGCATTGTTTATTAGGACAAAACAGACATGTAGCATTGTTTGTTAGGACAACACAGACTTGTAGCATTGTTTATTAGGACAAAACAGACATCTAGCACTGTTTGTTAGGACAAAGCAGACATCTAGCATTGTTTGTTAGGACAACACAGACATCTAGCATTGTTTGTTAGGACAAAGCAGACATCTAGCACTGTTTGTTAGGACAAAGCAGACATCTAGCATTGTTTGTTAGGACAACACAGACATGTAGCATTGTTTGTTAGGACAAAACAGACATGTAGCATTGTTTGTTAGGACAGCAGACATGTAGCATTGTTTGTTAGGACATCACAGACATGTAGCATTTTTTGTTAGGACAGCAGACATGTAGCATTGTTTGTTAGGACAAAACAGACATGTAGCATTGTTTGTTAGGACAAAACAGACATGTAGCATTGTTTGTTAGGACAAAACAGACATGAAACATTGTTTGTTAGGACAACGCGACAAAGGCAATATATCTGAAAATGCTGTCAGTGAGAGCAAATCAACAAACATATGTCATTCTAATTTTGGTAATACAAAACCTTTCACGTTCCTCTGTGAAAACAAAGCTACCAGAATTTTTCACTGCTGTCTGTGAAGAAAAAGCGACAAACTGACTTACCACATCGTCTGTGAAGACAAAGTGATACAAACAGTCATTCGCTTTTCGCTATCGTCTGTGAAGACAAAAGTGACAAACAGCCTTTCACTATCGTCTGTAAAGACAAAGTGACCAACATACTTTCACTATCGTTTGTGAAGACAAAGTGACAAACAGATTTTCACTATCGTCTGTGAAGACAAAGCAACAAACATACTTTCACTATCGTCCGTGAAGACAAAGTGACAAACATACTTTCACTATCGTCAGAGAGAACAAAGCGACAGACAGACTTTCAGTATCGTCTACGAAGACAAAGCGACAAACAAACTTCCATCTTCGTCTGTGAACACAAAGCATCTAACAGACTTTCACTATCGACAGTGAAGACAAAGTGACAAACGTACTTTCCCCTATCGTCTGTGAAGACAAAGTGAAAAACAGACGTTCACTATCGTCTGTGACGACAAAGCGACAAACAGACTTTCACTATCGTCACAGAGAACAACGCGACAAACAGACTTTCACTATCGTCTACGAAGACAAAGCGACAAACAAACTTCCATCATCGTCCGTGAACACAAAGCAACAAACAGACTTTCACTATCGACAGTGACGACAAAGCGACAAACAGACCTTCTCTATCGTCTGTGAAGACAAAACAACAAACAGACTTCCATCATCGTCTGTGAAGATAAAGCGACAAACAGACTTTCACTATCGTCTGTGAACACAAAGCGACAAACAAACTTCCATCATCGTCAGTGACGACAAAGCGACAAACATACTTTCATTATCGTCTGTGAGGACAAAGCGACAAACAGACTTTCACTATCGTCTGTGAAGACAAAGTGATAAACAGACTTTCACTATCGGCAGTGAGGACAAAGCGACAAACAGACTTTCACTATCGACAGTGACGACAAAGCGACAAACAGACCTTCACTATCGTCTGTGAAGACAAACCAACAAACAGACTTCCATCATCGTCTGTAAAGATAAAGCGACAAACAGACTTTCACTATCGTCTGTGAAGACAAAGCGACAAACAAACTTTCACTATCGTCAGTGACGACAAAGCGACAAACAGACTTTCACTATCGTTTGTGCGGACAAAGCGACAAACAGACTTTCACTATCGTTTGTGAAGACAAAGTGATAAACAGACTTTCACTGTCATCAGTGAGGACAAAGCGACATACAGACTTTCACTATCGTTTGTGAAGACAACGCCACAGACTTTCACTATCGTCTTTGAAGACAAAGCGACAAACAGACTTTCACTGTCGTCTGTGAAGACAAAGCTTCAAACAGACTTTCACTATCGTCTATGAAGACAACGCGACAAACAGACCTTCACTATCGTCAGTGAGGACAAAGCGACAAACAGACTTTCACTGTCGTCTGTGAAGACAAACCAACAAACAGACTTACATCATCGTCTGTGAAGATAAAACGACAAACAGACTTGCAATATCGTCAGTGAAGACAAAGCGACAAACAGACTTTCACTATCGTCTGTGAAGACAAAGTGACAAACAGACTTTCACTACCGTCTGTGAAGACAAAGTGACAAACATACTTTCACTATCGTCCGTAAAGACAACGCCACAGACTTTTACTATCGTCTGTGAAGACAAACATAGTGAAAAACAGTCGTTCACTGCTATCTATAAGAACAACGCGACAAATTGAATTCTAACGGTTAAACAATGTGTCAGTTCCATGTTTATGTTTGTGGTTGAAATGTAAAAAGTGTATATATTAAAGCGTCAGTCTTCCTAAAAAAAAGTCTTAAGATATTTCGAACTCACCTATTCGTTAAGCTAACCATTCTTTGACCAGAGTCATTACTTAAAGTGGTTTAATTAAGGGTCCGTATAGTCATTCTATATAAAGTAAAAATCTAATTACAACTTCATAATTGAACTGTATAGCCCCCACACTAACCGAACCAGTACACAACACAAAATGTCTAACAGTTAATGGAAAGGCTGTAATTGAAGTAAATGTCCATAATTCCAGACTGGATATTAACTGGTAGTAAAGCATCAAGCACGCGTTTAACAATACATCGATGAGACACCACGTTCGAATAGCTGAAGTTCAATCTGATTTAGCATTTCAATGCTAATTCCTCCATATAGCATACACGGATTAGCACTAATTACCCGTGTGTGATGAAGACAAGAAAAATGCCACAGATAAGGTTATAGAGTGTCCATGACTCGTAACAGTCTCGTTCTAGATAATCTCTTAGTTTATCCATCGTCTTTCTACGATATTTACGGTAATCAATCGCAAGCCATATATACAAACTACACTTAAATAACGATAACGGTGATTTTCGTATTACAACACTAATTGTGTGGGTCTTCAGACACCCCTTGGTTTAATTTCCGTCACGGAATTCGATTTAATGTTTGTAAATCACGCAAGTGGGCTGATAATGGCGGATTTAGAAAAAGGTGCACAGAAAGCTTATTTACCGTTACAGAGAAGCATAGTAATTTGACATGACCTATTAAGGCAGTGTATTCATTGAAATATGGTCGTTATATAAGATACAAAACAAGTATCATACATAAACAGTTTACAAGTCGATCACAAGTCATATTCGCAATTTTCACTGCAAGAACACTTCGATTTTTGACAATTCTAAAAAGGCACCCTGCAAAATGATTAACTACGTATATTGTAAACAAATTAATAAGACATAACCTTGTGATAATGTATATAGAAATAGTTCTATATAATGCTTGTTGTCAATGCTTAGTTTATTTGGATTGTTTTTTTCTACAGAATTCATGCAGTTTTTAAAACATGTAAAATATCATTTGTGTATTCACGGCGATATTCGAAGCAGAGTGCCAAGCGTCACTTTAAGAAATATAAAAAAAGGATGACTTAATTAAATCACCTGACAACTGTTGCGTTCATATTGACTATGGATGCCAATTGAAATTAGTTCAATACTTATTTTTTTACCGTTTTTGAAGTAATAATAGCATTCAAAGTATGTATCGTGTATGGTTGCTGTTATGACGTCATGATAATGATGACGTCAGCAATTGCGCCAATATCCTTAGCCGATCAATAGAATCAAACCCTTTGTTGAGGCTGTGACAGAGAAATCTAAAATCTGAGGGGTGATTTTTGGTTGTCTAAACCCGAGGCTCTGCAAATTTCTTATATTACATCTTCCAATAAAAACATGGAATTCACGTAATATTCTATTAGTTTTGTCTACAACTTTCGCGAGCTATCTAGGACACAGGGGTCCGGTAATATAAAGTTCGTAGAAATAAAGCACCACATTTGTATATTCCTATCTGTATATACTATATTTCTATGCGTAATAATGTTATTATATAATCATGTCAAACAAAAGGGGGCACATGGACACTATATTGTATTTATATTACACAACGATAAGTACACATCGCCATCGTGTCGTGGACGTTCATGCACATGGTGTATATATGTAGCACTGGCTCGCCTAATAAGGCCGGGTTATCATTCAACATCAAATATGTGTAAATCCCATTAAATCCTTAAGTCAGCTAATGGTTTAGCCTCGATAATCACACAGTTACTAGCTCCAGCATTAAGGATCATTGGGGTTGAGACATATCAGCAATATAAATTAAAGTTTAAGCGATATACAACTTAATCACAACCGAGTTCGAATCAATATCATAATCGCTTTGACTTCGCCTCAAGCTTAGTTTGAGCTTAAGTTTTCAAAGTATAGGTATGGAAAGTTGAGCTCAAACTCATCATGAGGTGAAACCAAAAGTTGTGTGACATGTATAGGAGAATCTCATTTATTCGAATAGGACTTCCATTAACCACACTCGAACTAACCGTTCAACACTCCCATTATTCGGAATTCCATTAACAGGGCTCCTATTAGCACGAATCCCTTACCTGGACGCCCATTAACCGCCTTCCTTTTACAAGATTCTCATTATCCGGGCTTCCATTATCAGGACATGATTTTTGACACAAAATATCCGAAAAAGAGAGAGACAAACTTGCGACAAACGTCAGAGAAAACTTCCGTACAATATGAGTTTGGAACTCTTTATCCCAGGGCCTGGCCAGTCACGGAAGATCAATGCTGTACTGTAATATGAACAACAACGGTATAATGATATACAATTTGAAGTAAGATTTTCCGGTCTGACATGGTTCTGCATTACATACATGTAAAAACAACGTTACCTGACGGCCGTCACGCCGGAGTCCTTCTGAGGATAATCCTTAGTGTACGTGGTCTGGTACGGGTTTCTTGGTCCTGCAACGGACAAATCGGTTGGTTAACTTCATAATGAAAATGAGGCAGGCAAGATATTGCTTACTTCTCAAGAACACTCTTGTGAAGTTGTAAATCCAATCAAGGACATATTGATTAATCATTATTTTTTGTGATTGTGGGAAAGAAAAAATGACTGTAATGTCCCAGCTTTGGTGTTAACCTTCAATCTGAAATTATTCCATTAACTTTATATTGCTTGATATATTTAATAGACGATGTCCTATTCCTCATTGACATTAAACTTTTCCATCGACCCTCATTTGAGATTTTCCATCGACCCTCACTGACATTTTCCATCGACCCTCATCTAAGATTTTCCATCGACTCTCATCTGATATTTTCCATCGACCCTCAACTGATATTTTCAAATACCCTCATTTGACATTAACCATCGATCCTCATTTGACATTTCCCATCGACCATTATTTCACATTTTCCATCGACGCTCATTTAACAATTTCCTTCGACCCACATTTGACATTTTCCATCGACCCTCATTTAACACTTTCCATCGACCCTCATTTGACATTTTCCATCGACCCTCATTTGACATTTCCCACCGACCCTCATTTGAGACTATCCTCATTCACCGAGTATATTGCCGGTAATATTTCACATTGTTATTATTTTTGCGGTTTTCCATTTGTTATCAATTGACCTTTCCCATCGACTTAGTAAAGATTGAAATATTCCTCAACCGTGACAGTTTTCATTTAAGTGGGGTCAGTTGTATCTAAGTGTTAGGTCATTCTATTCCATCTGGTCAGTTTGGGTGCTTAATAAAGCGGCGAGTCGTGGTCAAATAAATCACAAACCTTCAGAATGACGTACTCTAATACAGTATATGAATTAATTGACAACGGGAAAGACTGACCTCATTAGAGATATATTGACCACACACTGACCATATACATTCTATGTAAAAATTCACTAATACTCCAAGTTTCTCAAAGTAGTTTAATTATGAAGATCCTACGCTCTTCAAATGTAACAGATATAAAAAAAAATGAAACTAATACAGTTTGCGAAATTGTCCACGTTTATCGAATTAAATTATGATATCCATATTTTATTCGCTACACTTCAAAACAGACGTTAAAAAACTTTCCAAACGCATAAAAACCCTTATGCGGTCAGTCTCTACACATATACTATTTTATATGCATGAGTGCTATGCATTTGTCGGTCAAAAGAAAATATGGATTGATCGAGTTGCAAATACATGTGATTTTTCATTAAATTATCTTTAGCCGGAAAGCTGGTGTAACGTGAACAAAATTGAGATCCCTTTTACCATATTCTCACAACAAAAGCATGTCAAACTGCACATTTTCTGATTTTTAAACAGTTAGATAGGTAAAATTAAAGGAAAACACCGTAAAGTTTGCCATTCTCGTGCATTTTGACGTCATCGTCTAGTTTCTTGTGACGTCACCATCGGAGATTATATCAAAAATTACTACACCATATAACAGTATTGTACATTGAATAACAATGATATCTATTGATTTTGTTCCAATATGAACAAAGTTTTACAGTACAGTAATGTACGCTCTATACTGTGTATAACATAAATAACGGATTTCCAGAATCATTGTGAACCTGACTATACATTGTATATCTAGTACACACAGTGTAATTGTAAAATAAACACTGTAGTTGAGTGAATTTAATCTACAACAACATAAACACAATGTCAGATAATCCGTCAGTGCACAAAACCCCTCCCGATGACCCCTTTAAATCCACCCTACACTTTAAACTTACCGAAAGTTGGCATGGCTGTGTGGGGCCTTTCCACGGGATAATGACTCGAATTCCTAATTTCTTGTCCAAACTTTAGAGAAGTGAGCAGTTGTAATGCCTTTTCTCGATCAGCACTAGATTCCGTTTTGTCGTAAAAATCTTCCAGATCCTTAGTTAATCCCTGTGTTATCACATTTTCGCCAACCTGTAATGAAAACGTATACAAATTAAACTTCAATTAGTTTGTTTTTCAAATACAAGCAATGCGTTGGCGATCCCGTATTCGTGGCAACTTGGGCAAGTGATACGTATTTTAACCACACATAGCTTACCCTGGGCTCATCGTAAACCGGAGCCATTGGTGGATACATGGCGTATGCATTCATCATGTTGAGTCCGGTATCGATATCAGTCGCCATTTTTACACCGGAGTGTCTCAATCTTATGTAAAAACGACTTCGATTGGCTCAAACAGAGCACGTGTCCGGGGATAGTTTGTTGTTGTTACGAACCATCGCGTCTAGTTGCCAGGGTCCTCAGAGGGACGCTTCAGTCATTGAAACGCTTGAAATATCATTCAAACAAATATTGAAAAGTGTATTATTTTTCTCACCTACCCTAGAACGATATTCACACACCATATTGTTATCATAAATAGCATTCTAATCCTTTAATAACACAAGCAAATGTTTATTATTTTCCTTCGAATGGGTTTGTTGTTCGAATGTATGTACCTGTCTGAAGGATAATAGACTAGCGTGTTGTCGGGGACAATTTCGTTTAAAAAGTAATGAATTACCCTGCTATAGTGTTAGTTGACGGTTGATATGTAGTGTTGGTTTGGCCTCATACGACATGCCGAGTATAAATGGAATGGTAATTATCAGTTGAAGCCTGCTATCGATCGATATTCAGACTGAAACATATATATCTCACTGCAATATATATAACATATTTACATTGTACATTTAATGTATAGCCCTATACAGTCAGATGGCAGAATAAAATTGAAACTGATCTGGACCACCCTGCTTTACCCTGAATTATAATGATATGCGTGAAACTAATTTCTTATTTTTACGGAAGATTTTCATTAGGGATACGTTTTAGGAATTATCTAGTAGCAAGTAATTATAAGTTACCAAGTTGAAACGATACGCATATACCTTACGATACGATACGTATCACGATCTACACTTCCCCGTATTTCATTTTACAGGTTTTTGTCATAGTGTTAAATAAAATGCTATCAAAATATATTTTTAGTACTTTTGGGTATGGCTGCACAGTGGACCATATCTTTATTGAAGGATTCCAAGATGCACAATTACTTGTAGAAAGCTTAAATCTTAAAATCAATTCACCAGTACAAATAGTGTCTCCGCTGTAGTTACAAATACAATCGGTATTACAAAAACTATGAAAAAATAAGACTTTCTCTAAGTAAGAACATAGTTATTCTTTCTCTGTCTTAAACCCGTCATTCTGGTTAAATATACAATGAGGCACAATGGTCGCGAGGTTCGGGGCAAGAACTTCTGTGTTTGTTTTGTAGATATCAAAGACCGACATGTATTTAAACTAGACAGACGAACGAGAATTCTTATCTCGACACACTGACATGTCATTTTGATAAATACAGTTCCACCTGCGAGAAGCGAGGGAGCGAAGGTTGGGTGGCTGGGAGAAGCGAGGGAGCGAGGGTTGGGTGGCTGGGAGAAGCGAGGGAGCGAGGGTTGGGTGGCTGCGAGGTATATAGAGACACAACTCGCAGTATACTACAATGTACGTCGAATTCTGAACCCATCCTAAAAATTAGTAGACATTTAATCACATGTTTTTCTATATATACTGAGTTTCGTATTTGTATAATTATCTTTTTTATATTTTAAACTGATAACAACGACTTTAAACTTTGTTTTGTGTCGCTTATTTCCAGTCTACTGTAAGTACTTTAAGGCGTGCATGGTTCGACCCCCGACCGTCGGGAACAAATCCCGCCAACAGCAGGGTCAACTATAATTACAAAGATTGTTTTAGCTTATCATAAGTGATTTTTCGTAAGTTAAAATATTATTTCAGATCCGGCACATATCATATACATTTTGTTAATTTAAAAAAAAGTGTAGTTGTTATAACCAAACATTACACTTAATGTATGCCCGTTGCGGTTTTGTTCGTCAACTGTGTTACCACCCCTGCAGGTTGGGGATCAGAAAAGAATACACCTGCTGTTACTCGTGTGGAACCCACTGCAGAATTGGGGATTTGCTTTGGTGTCCTATATTGGGGGACACAAAAGCGGCCAAAATAAGTCTGCTGCATCCATTGCAATATTTGATATCTTTATCTTTCTTTCTGGGCGGATTGGTCGAGTAGTTAACACTCCGGCCTTCAAAGCAGGCGGCCGGGGTTCGATCCCCGAAGTCGCCGTACGTATTGAATATTCAGAGAAAGTGTTTTTCTCCTGCCCACACAACTCCACCAACCTAGGTGGAGTATAAAATGGTCTGGGGTGGATGTTACGGTATATGTGATGTATCATTTAAGTGAGGTGGCACTATAAATGATACCGTTGGAAGCACGGTCCCACTACAACAGAACACTATACATCTCCAGCACACACGCAGGCATACACACATAGGGATACATTAGCCATGGTGGTATATGACTAGTAGTTAGTGCCAGATAAGGCAGCTCCCACGAATTCCTTCATATTGTATTGATTAATATATTGACTGTATACAAATTGTATATCTTTGTACTGTAAATCGCCTTAGAGTGGCTTATGCTAGCTAGATAGGGCGCTATATCAAATATTCTATATTTATTTTTATTTATTTCTACTTCTAACTACCTTTTATTTCCTAGAGCATTGCTTGCCAACGCTTCACTTTTGGCTTTAATGTTGAGCTTTCGCCCAGGTGAGGAAGGCAATGGGTTCTGTACCCAGGCCGGGACATACCAAAGTCCTTAAAAATGGTAGTTGTTATTCCCTGCTTAACGTTCAGCATTTAGGGGAAGGGCAACAACTGGTTCACCCGTTGTCAGTATAATGTGACCAGGTGGAATGCTGTACTGGGTGCCTTCGGCGTGGTATTTCGGTGAGATAGCACTATTAAGTCGGCATCTGATCCGCGCTATCACAATGAGGCAGGCACTCCTACATACCATGTCTCCTGCATACACACACGCAAACATGCATACACTACACACATGGAGACACGTCCTTAAATGACCTTAACTGTTAATATGATGTTAAACCAAATTAAACCTAACCAATAGTCAACTGTTGCACAATTAAAAGCAGACACACAGCGATCCAAGTGCACCCTCCAAAGTCAGGCTAGCACTTCCGGAAGTTGCCAGGATGTAGGGTCAACTAACACCATTGCGGTAAGGGACATGCTCTCAAAACATGTATGCCTCTCATGTTAAGCGTAATACATTCAATATCTTCAACTTCAAGTTGGCACATGTTTGTGTGTATTGCCAACATCTGATACTCACTCACCTCATGAACTCCGTTCTATAAATTAGTCGACTAAAATGTGTGCTGCCTATAGCAGTAATAGAGGTACATTGTCATATCAAAATGTCAAAATGTCAGCTCCACAGACAGGATTGTGATTAGAATTGTACGGTACCGTTCAGAGTATTAAATCAGGGTTTTCCTCCTGCGTCTATTGGCGATGTTATTAAGGTTCAGTAATAAGGGCGGTATTGCACAGGCGAATATTATCAAGTCAATCCAAAAGAGAAACATTTCATATATTTTAAATGTTTTATTTCACTAGTTTTCATTGGGATAGTACGTTATTGTTCAATTTTATGTATTTTTGAAGCTCCCATGAAACCATCTGAAATGTGATATCCCATAATACCCATACAGCACTGAGTCCTAAGTTTGAAATGGATTACCTCACGTAGCTGGAAATGAACAAGGCCACGACTGTAGACAAGGACAACGGCTGACAAGTGGGGGTTGGTTTACAGTGAGTCCACTCACTTGATAACTTTACGAGACCCTTGAAAGTGAAATAGACTGTGTAACAAGATAGGTTTACAACACTAACCTCACTCAGATATTTCTATTTCAAAAACACGATGCATCAGGGTGTTTTATATAGATGATGCATTTTTGAAATCTATTCTGGCGGTACAATCTAGGTCTAATGGTATTTTACGATGAATTTTGTGTTTGTACTATTTCGATGATTTATTTACAGCAGCAACCCGAAGGTCATTTTGATGGTATTTCTATGTTGTTTGTGTCCTGTCGCGATAAAACCCAACCTTAAGTCAAAATGTTCGCATGAATGCAGTGGTATTGCCAATCTGCGGGAATGAGTGTTTTGAATAATTATTGCAAACATTATTTTACGAATATTCAAAATAATGTAACACCTTCGGCCCCTTTATCAACTGGCCTTAGTCATCAGAAACATGACCAAAAGATCACAATAGCAAAGGAAGAAGAGAAAGCACAAGACAAGGATGTCATTTCACCACCTTATTCAATATCATTCATTGTGCAAATTCAAATCAGTTTTAAATATAAGCGCGAAAATGATTTTTACGGGGATTCGTAAAAAAGTGTGCATTTATCTTCACAAATCTTCACGAAGTCGACTTCTATAAATTTGTCCTGTTACACGCGGTGTCTAATAACACACCCGATCCTGAATTGAACCTCCGACCTTCTATACACGGTAGGAAAGCGCTACAAAAATCTTAGACATTCCGAGAAACAAATCAAGGATGTGTATTCAAGACAGGTACCCCGACTTTATTAACATCACAAAGAAAAACAAAAGAGGATAGAGAGGAAGGATTAATACCTGAGTGCTTGCAGAAGACAAGGGTGTCCCTCATTACAATATCTTTTTGTCCTATCATCATACAAAAGAATTCGCCTAGAGCGGAGTACAGTATGGCATTGTTGGTAATAGGGCTTTCTTTGCTATAAAAAGCCGTTAGTAGGGCACTGTAAATTTTAATGAAGACGACACACAATAAAACCTAACCTGTCCACGACACCAAACTCCCATTATCAAATCAACCATTTTATTACCAGACTTCCATTTGAAGTGTCTATGTCAATATATCTAAGTAAATACATGTACATTGTGTGCGTGTGTTCTTTTCGGTTCTTTATTGTACATGTATTATAAAATACTTGTCAACTTCCCCCGCCGCCCAGCAATATCTACACAATGTACGGGCCACTGTTTATACAACAAAATAAATCGGTATACGATCATTCTCGTGTACTATCTGTGATTCACTATCAATACGGGGGCTCGTTCGGAGATGATTTATTTATGTCGTGTATATTCAACAAAGATATTTCAACAAAGGAACATCTAGATCAAAGTATTTTGTACATTTGTATACTGAAAAAGGCAGTTGTCAAAAACGTCATTTAATAATAAATATGACAATGTAAAATTTGATATAAACGTCTTTG